TTGTTGCTGTTGTTGTTGTTGTTGTTGTTGTTGTTGTTGTTGTTGTTGTTGTTGTTGTTGTTGTTGTTGAACATTATTACTTCTAAAGAATAATTATTGTTGGGACCCCTGGTGCATGGCCCCCTCGCCGCGCCTAGGCCGCAGCCTCATTTTCATCATTTTCGTGAGGAAGTCTCAGGCAAAACGGGGGAGTCCGGATCTGGTTGTTTTGTTCCCCCCCGCTTTCCCTTGCAAAAATAAGCTAAAGTGGACATTTCTTGTTCTAACATAACCAAACTTCAAGAATCCCTTGCAAAAAATAAGGTAAAGTGGACATTCGCGCGCGCAAGACGAAATCCTTCCAAAACCTTAGTGTTCGTAGCGATTTTAACATAAAAACATCAAAAAACCAATGGTTTTTCAAAAAAAATTGTCAAAATTTCATCCCGCGCGCTCTTGCGGATTCGTAGGAAACCCAACACTTTTTAAACATTTCTGTCAAACGGGCTTTTGCGAGCAACTTTTTCGAACTTCTGCAACAACGGTTGCGCACCTGCCAGGGCCATCATCCCTGTCAAATAATACCATGCGGGACACATTCGTTTTTTCTTCGCGCGCGCACGCCGTCGTCGTCGGCCGCGGGGCCCTGAATAGTAGCCACGGTCGTCCGCATGCCACGAAGTGAAGTGTCCGAACGTCATAGGGCGGGAAGCTGGGTGTGGGTGGTGGCGAAGAGTCGTTTGGAAATTTGGTAGAGCTTGAACCGGCCCCCCCACAAAGGGGGGGTATTGCCCGCCTCCTATGAAAACCCTGGCACTGGTGAGAACGGAGCGTCCCCACGTGCTAGTAATTGTTGTTGTTGTTGTTGTTGTTGTTGTTGTTGTTGTTGTTGTTGTTGTTGTTATGGTCGTTGTTGTCGTCGTCGTCGGTGTTGTTGTCGTCGTTGTTGTTGCTGTTGTTTTTGTTGTTGTTTTGGTTTGTGTGTTTGTTTTTGTTGCTGTTGTTGTTGGTGGTTTTGTTTTTTGTTGTTGTTGTTGTTGTTGTTGTTGTTGTTGTTGTTGTTGTTGTTGTTGTTTGTTTTGCTGTTGTTGTGGTTCTCGTCGTCGTCGTCGTTGTGGTTGTTGTTGTTGTTGTTGTTGTTGTTGTTGAACATTATTACTTCTAAAGAATAATTATTGTTGGGGCCCCTGGTGCACGACCCCCCCGCCGCGCCTAGGCCGCAGCCTCATTTTCATCATTTTCGTGAGAAAGTCTCAGGCAAAACGGGTTGGTCCGGATCCGGTTGTGTTGTTACGATCGGTTTTCCCTTGCAAAAAATATGCTAAAGTGGACATTTCTTGTTCTAACATAACCAAACTTCAAGAATCCCTTGCAAAAAATAAGGTAAAGTGGACATTCGCGCGCGCAAGACGAAATCCTTCCAAAACCTTAGTTTTCGTAGCGATTTTATCATAAAAACATCAAAAAACCGATGGTTTTTCAACAAAAAATGTCAAAATTTCATCCCGCGCGCTCTTGCGGATTCGTAGGAAACCCAACACTTTTTAATCATTTCTGTCAAACGGGCTTTTGCGAGCAACTTTTTCGAACTTCTGCAACAACGGTTGCGCACCTGCCAGGGCCATCATCCCTGTCAAATAATACCATGCGGGACACATTCGTTTTTTCTTCGCGCGCGCACGCCGTCGTCGTCGGCCGCGGGGCCCTGAATAGTAGCCACGGTCGTCCGCATGCCACGAAGTGAAGTGTCCGAACGTCATAGGGCGGGAAGCTGGGTGTGGGTGGTGGCGAAGAGTCGTTTGGAAATTTGGTAGAGCTTGAACCGGCCCCCCCACAAAGTGGGGGTATTGCCCGCCTCCTATGAAAACCCTGGCACTGGTGAGAACGGTGTGTCCCCACGTGCTAGTAATTGTTGTTGTTGTTGTTGTTGTTGTTGTTGTTGTTGTTGTTGTTGTTGTTGTTGTTGTTGTTGTTGTTGTTGTTGTCGTGCTGCTGGTGGGCCCAGTTTTCTCTGTCGGAATTATCGAGATCCAGCATCCACGTTGGACTCTTTGGAATGCATCGGACTCTGTTGGTCTCAAGTGGTCTCCCTTGTATTCGACTGGAATGCACCCGTGTCCTTGTTGGAATCGTTTGGACACCGATGGGCTCCATTGGAACCCCGTGGACTTCCACTGAGGTACATTGTGCTCTAGCTGGAATCCGCTGTTGGGCTCCATGGGGCTCCCCCGGAATACCCAAAGCCTGTTGGGCTCCAGCGGTTCTACCTTCCACAAAAGGCCCTATTAGATCCCATTGGGCGCGATCGGACCCCGTGGGGTTCCATTGGAATCCCGAGGGGCCCAGGAAACCCCATCGGGCTTCGTTGGACTCCATGGGATCCGTGGGCGGCAAACGATCGTGGACGCAAGGGGGCAAGATAATGACAGTGATCAAGCCCGCGATCGCTTAAATTCGCAAGCAGTCAAGCAAACGCAGCCGTGCACGCAATCCGCGCGCATGCCCATGGTTACACATGCGAAGGTTCATGATTGCGCATCGGCAGGTGGAACCGTGGCTGTCATATGCTACACAGCGCGTGTCATGCGGCGCGATTTCGAATGTTTTCGACAAGTGAAGCTTTGAATTTGGCGTTCCGCAAATCTTTGGCGTGCAGGTGCAAGTTTCGTGCTCAGCTGAGCGTTTGGCGTTCAGAAAACGTGTGGCACTCATTTCTGGCCAGCTGTAAGTTCTTCGTGACTCTTGCGGACACAGGCTCGGCGGCGAGCGAGGGGGGGAAGTGAGAAGGAGAAGGCCTCCTCAGAAGGCGGCGGGACTTCCCAGGAGCCCTCGCGCCCTCCGGGAAGTTCTTTCCAGGCCTCCTCAGAAGGCCTCCTCCTCCTCACTTCCCCCCCTCGCTCGCCGCCAACAGGCGCGCATGGGTGGCCCGTCTGCGCGGCCGCAGTGGCGCTCGTTCCTCTCTGAAGCTCGGCGGGGCGCCGCTGAGCAGTGGACGCTCGCCGAGCCACCGAGGCTCTCCGCGCCCCGCTGCCCCGGGCACTGCTGCGCGCAGCGGTAGGCTTAAGTCGGGCATGTCCCTCTACAGGAGGAGTAGTCAAGAACAGTCAAAGAATAGTCAAGGGACGATTTGTTTGAACTCTTTTTGAATATTTTTGAGCATTTTTTTGTTTGTTTTGTCCAAAATTCGCCTGTAGAGGGACACGCCCGACCCAATGGTGGGCTCACGCCTCCTTTGGGACCGGCCACTGATGGCAGCGTTGCTGCTCATTTCAGGGGCAACGAAAGGAGAAGACAGGCATAGGGGGGGATGCATCGAGCCCCAATCGCCCATTGATCGACGACAGGGACCCGATCAGCCCCACCCCACCCAGGAAGGTGCGGATTCACGGTCGGGAGCCTATCGCCGATCTATCGGCGATGTATCGCCGATTCCAGGTCGATGCATCCCCCCCTATGCCTGTCCCCCCCCCCTCTTATCGTTGCCCCTCGGCCAGGCCCCCAGGGCCGTCACAAAGCACGGCTCGGGATTAGAAGCCGGCCCTCGGGAATTGGTCGGGGCATCAAGGGGCTGCACATCGAGGAGGATGATCGAGGAGGAGGAGGAGGAGGGGAAGGAGGATCGAGGAGGATCGAGGGGGAGGGGGAGGAGCATCCCCCCCTATGCCTTGTCCTCCCTATCGTTGCCCCTCGTCGTTGGATCCGCCGTGCTCCTCGGGCCTGAAGGGTTGCCTTCGGCATGGCGCTGCGACCCCTCACTCTCCAGCGATCGTCTTGGGCCCAGCGGTGATGTTCTCTTCTCCGTTCTGGCGCCGAGGAGCCGTTGGCCCCAGCCGGCGCATCACGCTCGCTGCTCGGACAGGAACCACAGCGAGGTTTGCGTTTTTTGGTTTCAGCATTCGACCCCCACCGATCCGATGGCGCGTTCTGGGCAAACTGGCTTCCGCACTCGGGGGGACCGTGTTCTTTCGGCCCTGGGCTCCTCGGCTTCGGGGCGGCACCCAGTGAATGCGGGCCTGCTTTCGCGGCTCTGGGGCAATTGACCTTCACCTCGCCACTGAAGACGCACCTCGCGCCTTCTGGCGTGGCCGATGGCGTCGAGCTGCGGGCGCCGAGCGCTGCTGCCGCGGTGCTGTCAGTGATGTCCGCCCCTCCCGCGCTGGCTCGTGCTTCCGTCGCCTATGATGCCGCGTCCAGCGGCCGCCCTGTCGCCTCCTCGCAATTCCTTGGCCCGTCGCCGCCGCCCGCCCAAGCCCTGTCGCGCCGCGGGGGCTCCGAGCCCGGCCGTGGCCGCTCTCGCCCCCCCCCCGGCGACGGGGCGGCCCTGTCCGCCCCCTCCGAGCGGCGCGGCTCGGCCCGCGCAGGCCGGGGGGGCCCGCGCATCCTGGGCCCCTGGAGCGCGTCGGCCGCGGCCCCGGGGGCTGGTCTGTGGCACTGGGTCCGCTCTCGACTGGCCCGGGGCCCAGAGGCGCCCCCCCCCGAGGGCCGAGATGCTCGGGAGGAGCCCGCCGGCTGGAGAAGCACCATCTTTCCGGTGTCTGGAGTGAAGTCGGGCGTGGCCCTCTGCAGGGGGAATCTTCGAGAGCAGTACATACATAGTCCGGGGACGATTTGTCGATTACTTTTGTGGACTGATGTTGAGTATCTTTGGATTATCTTGCCTTTTCTCCCAAACAATCCGCCTGGAGGAGGACATAACCGACCTGGGCAGGAGGCGCTGGGAGGTCACCGACGCGGGGGGGGGACCGCTGGCAGGCCACCGACGCTGCTCGCGCTGCGAGGCCACCGACGCCAGAGGGGGGCCCCGCCGCTGTGAGAGATTTGACAGTTCGTTTTGAGAACCAGAATTTTTCTAACGTGAGGTGCGTTATGCCGCATCTGTCTGTCAAATTCTCAGGTCCGTTACTGTCAAAAAACGTGGAGGAACCAGCTTCGTATGAAACCCCCAAAACATAGATTCTGCGAGGCCACCGACGCTGCTCGCGCTGCGAGGCCACCGACCCTTGCGGGGGGGGGGCGCGCAG